CTATGCACAATAGAACAAAATACTGCCCGGTTCTGGGCTATCCTTAAATAATTCCTATGCTTGAGCTGTCAATCCATCTCCTTTTTTTATGCTGCCCTTCCACTTTACCAAGCAAGATGTCCTTTTCTAGGGACTGCCCTCTTTTGACAATATGTCCAAAGGATATAAGAGGAAGTCTCTCCATCCTTGCCTCTAAGGAGCACTCTGGCCATACTTCTTCCAAGAAAGATTGGTCTGCCTTTTTAGCAGTCCATGATTCTTTCAGTATTCTTCTCCAGCAATGTTATTGAAATGTATTGATTCTTCTTGAGTCTTCCATATTCACTGTCCAACTTTCAAATGCACATGAGGCAACTAAAAATACCACGATGTGGGTCAGGCGCACCTTAGTCTTCAAGGTAAAATCCTTGCTTTTCAATACTCTATAAAGAGGTCTTCTGTAGCATATTTATCTGATGCAATATATCTTGACCTCTTGACTGCTCCTTTCATGAGAAAGCAAGACAGAACCCTTGCCAACTTCAACCCTTCCTCCATTTATCATAATGTTATCTATTGGTCCAGTTATGAAGATTTTGGTCTTCTCTACATTGAATCTTAATCCACACCGAAGGCTGAAATCCTTGGTCTTCATCAGCAAGTGTTTCAAGTCCTCTTCACTTTCAGCAAGCAAGGTTGTGTCTTCTGTATATTGGGGTTGTTAAAAAGCCTTCCTCTAATCCTGATGCCTCAATCTCCCTCCCCACCATATATTCCAGCTTCTCTATTTTCTCAGACTACAGACTGAAAAAAAGTATCTTGACACCTACCTTTCATGATTTTAGAACATTTGCTTGATTTGTTCCACACAACTTCTTGGTCTGTGTATAAGCACAATGAAATGTTCTGGAATTCCTACTCTTTTCAAGGTTATCCATAATTTGCCATGATCCACAAAGTCGAATGCCTCAGCACAGTCAATAAAACACAAATGAACATCTTATTAATCTTTTCTGCTTTGAACTGATATCCATCTGACCTCAGTAATAATACCCCTTGTTCAACATCCTTTTCAGAATCTGGCCTGAATTTCTGGCAGCTCCTTGTGAATGTACTGCTACAAGCATTGTTGGATGATCTTCAGCAAAAAATGTACTTGCATGCAATATTAAGCATACTGTTCTGTAATTTGAGCATTCAATATTTTCCAACTACTGCTTCTTTCTCTTTGTTTTCAACTTATGCATTCCAATCACCAATAATTATCAATGCATTTTAAATGCATGTTTGATACATTTCAGATTGACAACATTGGTAGAATTTTTAAGCTTCTTTATCACTAGCTTTTGAGGTTGGTGCATAAATATGAACAATATTTGAACTAATTGGACTTTTTTGAAGATGGATAGATACAATCCTCTCAGACAGCATTGTACTTTAAGGCAGATCTTGAAATGTCCTTGCTGACAATGCAATGCCATTCCTCTTGATTGTACAATTAGTTTCTGATTCAAAATGACCAATACCAGCTGCAATCATTCCTTAAGAAGAAGAACATTAAATGTGTAATGAAATGTTGTTAGGTGTTGTCCAAAGTCAGAACTCATAGCAACCCTGTATACAACAGAAGGAAATACTGCCTAGTGCTGTGTTGCCTTTACAATTGTTCTTATATTTGAGCCCATCAGTGCAGCCAGTGCCAATCCATCTTGTCAAAGTCCTTTTTTTTTTGGCTGCCCTGTCACTTTACCAAGCATAACACCCTCCTCTAGGGACTGGTCTCTCCTAACATGTCAAAGTACATGAGACCAAATCTTACCTCTAAAGAGGATTGTGGCTCTACTTCTTCCCAGGAAGAGTTGTTGGTTCTTCTGGCAGTCCATGTACTTTCAATATTCTTTAACAGCACTATAATCAAATGTATTGATTCATCTTCAACCTTCCCTAATCATTGTCCAACTTTCACGTGCATATACGGCAATTGAAAATACCATGGCCTGGATCAGGCGTGCCCTAGTCCTCAAAGTGACCTTGCGTTTTGAATTACCTAACCAGTTATGCTTCTGTGCAAATGAAATCTGTAGCCATCACAACCACATTAGAGAAAAAGACAGAACACTATATTTACAGTAGGTAACCTCTATTGAAGGATGAACAAGGCCAAAAACTTTCCAAGGCATTAAAGAACTGGGACTCATTGATTGACAAGAATTAGACATTACTGATGTCACCATGCCATAGACTGTGCTATTCAAACTTCACTTTACTTCTTAAGGAAAGTAAATATGTACATAATAGCAAACTCATGGAAATACACTTTGTGGCTGTTAAAAAATGTAGTCATAAGCACTAATATTGCTGGAATTTGCCTTTTTGTAAAATACATATACTGGTATATATATTTGTTTGACAGTTGGTCATACTCTACTGGCTTGTGTGTTGCTGTGCTGCTGGAAGCTATGTCACTGGTGTTTCAAATGTCAACAGGGTCACCCAAAGTGAACCGATTTCAGAGGAGCTTCCAGACTAAGAACAAACAAGGAAGAAGGAATCACCTGCCCAATTCCAAGGAAGTAGCCCCTGAATACCTTATGCATAACTTAAAAACCTTTTCAGAAACGGAAGGCTTAAAGACTGAAAGCAGAACATAGTCGGAGATAGTACCTAAGGATGGCCCCTCATGAGGTGGAGGTCATTCAAACTAACCGAGGAGGAGGCTGCTTTCTTGCAGTAGAGTCAATCATGGTGACATGAATAGAGTAGAGCTTTTGGGAATTTCAACTGCTACTGGAGCACAACTCAAGGTAAGAAGAAACAGCTGCAAAAATCTGCTAATGATCAGAACTTGGAATGTGTGAGATATGAATTTAGGAAAAGTGGTAATCAAATTGGAAGTCACAAATGAAATGGAATGCATACAGATCAGTATCTTAGGATAAGGAGAAACGAAAAGAATTATAATCAATGACATACTATGGCCAAAAAACCAAGAGCAACATGCAAACCTGAAACCAACATACAAGACAATTTCTCATAAAAACTAACACACACAGACCAACACCCATAGCAAGGAAATAACAAAGGAGAAACAAAGAATCTAAACACAACATACATACACACAACACACATAAAGCAAAATGGCAGTAAAATACATTGTTGATGAATTAATTCTGACTCATAGTAACCCTGTAGGACAAAGTAGAACTGCCCCGTGGGGTTTTCAAGGCTATAAATCTGAATAGGAAGAAAAGCCTTGACTTTCTCATTTGGAGCAGCTGCTAGTTTCAAACTGTTGACTTTGAGGTTAGCTACTCAATGTGGAACCCACTACACCATCAGGGCTCCTCTGTAAATATACACAGCCTTAGAAAACCACATGGGTAGTTCTACTCAATAAGGCCGCTTTTAAGTCAGAAATGACTTAATGGCCACAAGTTTGCATTTTTGTTTTTAATTGGAATTAAAGAAATTATTGAAAGTCAGGTTTTGTTGAGAAAAAAAAATGACTCCTAAATTCTGCAAATTCTAATTATATATTAAAAGCAAAATTAGTGATCTGACAGATATTATTTAAAATAATAGGTAGAATGAAATCTGGTCAGGATTTTCACCAGAGAACAATAAAAAAAAATTACAAACTGAAACAAAACAAAGAATAGAAAAAATTAAGCAGTTTTAAAAAGAGATTGTAAGAAATTATGTTATAACTATTGAGTAGATTGCTATTATGTGCAGTACAGATTTTCAATTCATAGAGACACAATTTGTAAAAGAATAGTACTTCTTGACAGGGTTTACTGGGCTATAATTTTTAAGGGAGCTGATTATCAGACTTTTCTCCTGAGGCTGTGCCTTTTAGTTAGCAGTTCATTACTTAACTGCTGAGTCACCAATACTTGTATGAAGTAGCTAAAAGTCATTAAAAGCATACACCTTGTATGAAAGCTTTTGTAAGACAGCTAATGAACTCATTAAAATGGTATAAAAAAAGAAATAAATAATTTTCAATGAAAAGCCCATTTATACCATTATTGTCTCTTAAAGGAATTCCAAAATTTAGAAGTTGGTGTGGTGCTTCCTCAAACAATTGGGAATAGAAATAGCATATTAAATAGCAATCCCTCTACTTGGTATATACTCTAAAAAAGAAGGAACAAAGTACAAGCACCATTCTCATTGAAGGACTATTCACAACCGTAAGAATGAAAACCATCTAAAGGTCCATTAATGGAAGAATGTATAAATTTTGTTCATACACATTGTTTATACACATTGCCAAAGAAGAATGACGAAGCTGTGAAACAACTCATGACACAAACGGACTTGAAAGACATCATGCGTAGTGAAGTCAGTAAAACAGAGGGTGGGCAGGTGTCAGCTTGGTGAAGGGGAAGTTATATAACTGACAAAGAGGAGTTGGAAAAACAATGGGAGTGGTGGGGGAAGGGCAGGAGAAAGCTAATGGGAGGAATGATAAAGTGTTATAACTTGTACAATACAAAAATGATCTGATATATAACCCCCACCTAATGTGTTTTAAGATGATGAATTACTAAAAAACAAACATCCTTATAGCACTTATAGTTAGAAAACAGTGACCAGTCCTACATCAGAGGAAGTAGCAGCTGACAACCTTAAGGTCAACAGCCAACCATGTGTTTAAATTATCAAGAATTCCAAATACATTGAGAAGTTAAATTGTAAGGTGGCTAAAAATTAAGAACAACAAAACAATAATGACTTATTACATCATGCATGGCAATGTAGAGTGGTCGCAGGAGAGAGGAAGACCATCAAAGAGATGCACTGTCACAGAGGCAGCAACAATGGACTCAACATAGGAACAATTTTGAGGATCTAGCAAGCCTGGGCAGGGTTTCTGATGTTATAAGCTTATTTCAACCTATTAACATTTGTTGCTAACATTCACTAGGAGAAAAATACTAAGCAAAAAGTTAGAAAATAAAACCACATAATTCTTTGGCAGTTCAAAACATATTTTGCATTCACACGCAACTTACCTGCTGTAAAATCTTCAGTCAGATCGATAAATGCATGAGAATGTGGAATTCGTATTTTACTTCTAGTAGTCAATGCAGGACGCCATGACAAATTCCTAAAAAAATTTCAATTATTAAAAATATTAAAAATATTCTTAATGCAAACAATGAACATTTTAAAGAAAAAAATCTCTTAATGTAAAACATTCTAAAATTTATTTTTATTGATATATTTAATGTACCATAATGTCTATTCTTTGTAAATATAAAATTTAACAATTTAACATATCCACAGTATAAAAACATTACTATCTAATTCTAGAACATTCTGATCATCCTCGTAAAACTCCTAAGTATAAAGCAGGCACTCCCCATTCGCATGTCCCTTTCCCAACCCTAATCACAGGTGTATTTGAAAAGAACTTTTCCATAAGATTTTCAATAACTGATTGTTCAGAAGTAGATCATCAAAATTTGAGACTCAACCCTGTAACTTTTTGGTTAGTAACTGGCCGTTTTAGTTATCTGTTTGCAATAGTAGCTTGATGACCTCATTTGGAGGTATCACGAAGATAAATAGCTCGCTGGAGGTGGGACACAGACATATTCCCTGGGAGACATTTCAGCTGACAAGAAGCATGGAGCTACCCGAATGCCCTGAACTGGAAGAACCAACTAGAGATCCCTGTCAGCGCTGAGATGCTTACACCTCCACTAGATCCATAAGACTTTCTCCACAGACTTGTGATCTTCCTGCATTTGGCATTATTGCATGTGTTTCGTGAGTTTGAAGAGGACTTTATAGATTGGTATTGGACATATGGGCTAATTATGGACTTATGGACTTGATCTGGACTGTTCTGGGACATATTCTGAATATTCAATTGTTCCTATATATAAAGCTCTTTGTTATATACATATGAGTGTCTCTATGAATTTGTTTCTCTAGTCTACCCAGACTAATACACTTGATCCCTTGACCTACTGCTTCATGAGCACTTGATTGTGAATCCAAACAAGATAAAATGCTTGACAACTTTAACCTTTTCTCTGTTTATCAGGATGTTCCATGCTAGTCCAGTTGTGAAGATTTAGGTCTTTTTCACATTGTGCTACAATCCGCCCTGAAGGCTGCAATCGTTGATCTTCATCAGCAAGTGTTTTAAGTCCTCTTCACTTTCAGCAAGCAAGATTGTATTATCTGCACATCACAGGTTGTTAATAAACATTGCTCTAATCCCAATGCAGCATTCTTCTTCATAAAATCCAGCTTCTTTGATTATCTGCTTAGCATATTGAAATGAATAAATCCTTTCTATAGTTGAGTAATATTTCCCGAGCCCCGGTGGTAGTGGGTTACCTATTGGGCTGCCAACTACAAGGTCAGCAGTTCGAATACACCAGTCATTCCAAGGAAGAAAGATGTGGCTTTCTACTCCCATAACCAGTTACAGTCTGCCCCATAGGGGAAGTTCTACCCTGTTGTGTATGGTTGCTATCAATCAGCATAGACTCTATGTCAGTTTAAGTTTTACTAACAACAACAAAATTCTCCCGGAGTGGTATAGTAGTTAACTACAAGATTAACAGCTCAAACCCACCAGTTATTCTTCAGGAGAAAGATAAGGCATTATGCTTTTGTAAAGATTCATAATGTCAGAAACCCAAAGAGGCAGTTCTACTCTATTCTACAGGGTCACTATGAGTCAGAAATGACTTGATGGCAGTAGCGGGGAGTGGGGATATTCTGAACATCAACAGCACATTATTGACTATCTGTTCATCCATAGATGGACATTTGAACTTTTTTCATTTTGTGCTACTGTGATTAGTACTGTTATGAATAACCATTTATATATAAGTTTGTGTTAGTTACTGCATAGATATAAAATTTTAATCCTCTTGGGTATATTAAAAAGAGGGTTCAAGGTGTTTGTGGAAAAAAATCCATTATCTTTTTATTCTCTTTATCATGAACTTTTAAAGCTTCTTGGTATAGAGAGAAGTCTCTGAGTTCTGCAGATAGTTAAAGGGCCGTTTTCTACAAACAGCCTATTTTCAATACCCTTCTTCTGCATACAATGTAACTCATCTTTAACAAGGCAATAAAATACAACCAGAATTATTTGAATAAAAACACAGTAGTAGAAGGTTTTGGTAATAAGAACACATTAAAATGAATTGCAGGATTATATTTAAGTTTGTTGTACTAAGCAAATTTATACCAAGCAACTACATTATTTAATTATATACTGTACAGATTAGAATCCTTAAAATAACTAATATGAGGAAACTTTTAAAAGTTCATGTAAAAGTATAATTAAAAGATAATGGATGTTTCAGTGAACTATTTGAAGTCCCCTAATATAATTTAATAATAGCTGACTAATTTCTTTTTAATACAGACCATTTATTGATCAGTTATATAAATTGTAAGTATTAAAGAACTTTTAATTACTAACAAAATAAACAGTCTAAGGCAAGAGTCTATTATAAGTCCAACCCAGAGTTACTTCAGAAGACTTTGCTAATGTTTCTATCAAATTTGTAAGTATAGGCCAAGAATTAATTACAGAACACAGTCTTATTATAAAGTTGAGCTCAGTGAGGTTAGACAAGTGGCTCAGTCTTTAATTACTATCTGAACAATATTGATCTCATTCACTTTAGAATTTTTAACAGGCTCACTTTGTAATAAATTATAGCGAAATTTTCGGAAACCTAGAGTTATAAAAGAACAACCCATGCAGAAAATTATGCATAAAGAGGTAGTTTATTTGACTCTTATAATGGTTTTAAAGTCTTGAGTTCACTGGCTTACTGATAAGCTAAAAGAACTTCACATTGCCCAAGGAGGGTAGAAGCCTAGGTCTAAGAGCTAAAAGAACTTTTTGAAGCTTTTTGACACTTTTGAAGCAGGCCATGAGGCCAAAGGTCTAGGCATGCCTTCAAACATGAGGTTTTCTAATCAAATAATTTTACTGTGAGCATTCTTGATGCTGAATTCTGAATTCTAATTATTTGCTTCCTTAATAAGACCCAGAATCATGAGCATGATTTGTGTGTTCTGTATGTCCTTTGCAACAAATCACATGGCAAGAAAGGAATGTTAGGTGTCTGAACTGGTATATTGGAGACTGGAAGCAATTCTGACATCCATTTCACAGGATGTTGAGTGGGAAGTCTAAGGAAGTCAGATACCCACCCCCCAATGCAATTCTTGCATAACCTATGTTCTTCTATTTAACACGAAAATCTCTTCACAGGTAGCAGTTATACTTATATGTAATTTACTTCATATAGTTTCTATTTACCGTCCACTTTCTACATACTAAAAAGGGTAGAGAAAGGCTGTTGCTTCTTCTTTGTAATATCGTTTAAGGTGGTTGAAAATTGAATATTTCTACAAATGCCTCTTAGAATTAAATCACCAAAAATGTACACTTAAAAGTGGATTCATTCACTCTGTTGTGCCTTTAAAGTTGTTTTTCATAAATTTTCAGGAAAAAGCAGCAGATATTTTTCACTCACTATATTTGCATAAGAATCCTTGGGTGGGACACATAATTAAAGTACCTAGCTTCTGATCAGATTTGATTCACCCAGCTACCTCAGAGGAAATTTCTGGTGACTTACTTTTAAAAAGTAGCCATCAAAAACCTTATGGCGTATAGCTCTATTCTGAAACACATGGAGTCATCATGAGTTAGAGACAGCAATTGTTTGGTATGACTTCATATTAACTGTAATCTTCTCATATATGTGCCCAACCCCGTTAGAAGGCTAAGGTCACAAATAAATGATTATAAAGTAAAGAAAAACAGGTGAAAGATGGGTGTCCACAATCATGTTGAGTCTGCTTGTTAGCATTTCTTAACCTCTGTAAGAATTCTTATTATTAACTTTTGCCTCCTAACAGGAAGAACATTTATGTCAATATATTCTAATTTGTGGGCATCATAACCCTTAATCACAAAGAATAGTATTTACTGAAGGATGAATTTCAATATGATTAATGTCAACTATAGTTGATGGGAAGAGTCTTAGTGGCATAGTGGGTTACATGTTGAATCCACCAGCAACTCTGAGGGAGAAAGATAAGGCTTTCTACTCCAGCAAACAGTTTCGGGAAACCTATCTAGTCCTATGAGGTTGCTGAGTAGGTATCAACTTGATGGGAGTGAGCGCTTACAGGAGATTGGTAGCCTAGGGTAAAGATTCTTTGAAATGACCAATCTACCCACTTTGCAATATCACTGTATACGAAATGATCAGTATTTAAGATAAAAGTAGTTATTAGGAGTTTGGTCTGGCAAGATTGATGTGTTTACTTCTCTAACCTACTTAGTTCTTTAGTGGAGTAGTTCTCAAGCATTTATGATCAGATAGACTCTAAAAGGGATATACCTTTGACAAACTGTATCCCCCTAATGCATTTAAGACTATTTTAAAGAAATAAACCTAAATATTTTTATCAACTTAATTGATTAAAAATTAGGTAATCTTCCAATCTATTAGAATTGCTGAAGTTTTAAAATAAAATCAGTACATTAAAAAATGTATTTGGAGGATTTCAGGGAAGATGGTGATGATCTAGAATTACCTGTCGGGAGTTCCTATTGTGAGATCATTGGATCTGCAGGTGAGGAGGCCAATTCGGGGGTTTTGGACACGAGTTCTCTGTTAAATTCTCCAATGAAGAACTTAGCTGTGCAACTGTGCGCAAGTTTCCTTTTCATGGTGCCCACCCACATCTTACTTTCCTAGTCTGTGGGGCAGCAGGGGCCAGCGTCTTCTCCTGGTGAGTTTGGTGACTCACCGGTATGGGGAAGTAGCCCAAGACAGTCTGACCCTCAGGGACATGCCACAGACACCCACAAGGACTTTGGGATGCACTGGATGCTAGAACCTCTGGTGGCAACAGAACAGAATTCCATTGAGATAATCCCTTACCAAAGCCTGCTCGCTACCCGAATAGCAAGGGCATGGTTAGGCTCTCTAGTTATATAACCCCAGCTTTTTAGGGAGGGATCCAGCACCAGTGAGACAGACGAGGCTTGAGCCCACAGTACGGCGGGCTCTAAGAGGTTGTTAGATTTGGTCCTATTTTCTGTTG